CAGAGAGAGAAAAATCTTGCAATAAAAAAGACAGACAGTAAAGGGGGGCGGGGGGGATTACAGCTCACAAAGAAATGACTAGCGGATGTTCCTGAATTTAATTTGCCTATCTATCAGTCGCCTAAAGATGTTTTCTTAAAGGCACAAATCCCTTTGGCTGGACATGAATGTTTTTTAAAGGGTGTGTTTAAGTATACTCAAATAAAACTCAATCTAGCAAGCACAGGGGTTTGTTTTTGATAGCCATTTACATTTCGGATCCAGTTCCCATTTGTGGAAAAATACCCAGATTCGCTAAGCTCAGACACCAACAAATCACTTATTGAACATTTTATACCTTCTCTCTCCTTTTTATTAGCAAAGACCAGTATACAAAACATTTAGACAATGTTAGCAGGATTCCCAGTATAACCTGACATATTTTTGATTTATACTGATATTGATATTTGGGAGTTGAAAAATACTACTTTGATATGGATCCCTTAATTTGTTTTCCTTTTTGTAAAAAAAATATGGCCAAGATACATATTGAGGATTTTGATGTTTTACAGTTGTCAGTGCTGTCAGGTGTACAAACTGTGCGGTGTTTCCCACAGAATGACAGACACCCGCGATTCCGTTTTCAGCAGCAGGTGTGCCCCTTGTGGAGGAGGCTTGTTAATGGTGTAGCCTATCAAAACGAACGAACGTGGTAGCTAACGAATGACATCTGGTCTGGTGTGTTCACTGTTGCTTTACCTGGTCTGAGCTTGTAAAATATCTACCATGTCCGTGTCTTGTAACGTAATAGATAACAACTCTCTGCAAAATGCTGAATTAGCCATCAAAAATACCTGGTCGGCCGTTAATATACATTGGCCCAAGTAAAGTCTGTATGTGGGGAAACGCGGCTATGTAGTGAAGACATGGGTTCTTAAAAACGTCAAACTTAGTTTGGCATTTCTGTAATGCAAATTCTTATTGGTCAATATATACACTGATATGATATATCTGCAATAAGCTAATATCGGCCTAATACTACTTAAGTTTACTTAAGTCACTTTCATTGGTTCAACTTAAAGATCAGATGGCAGATTTCGCTAATTTCGTAAGTGGCTTGGTAAAAAGCCAAAATGAAACATTTGTCAAGTTTATGGGCTCTTTCCAAGCTGTTGTCTGTACCAAATATAATTTGTGAGGACACCACTCTATGAGAGCGCAAGTGGACTTTTTGATTTTGTAGTTCAGCAAGAGCAACCGAATAGTGAGTCGTCTGGCTGATCGCGTCGCATCGTTTTCAGGAGTCAAAATCAAAACTATCTGATTAGTAATTGAAACTGATCAATTTAATGGTTCAATATATGGATCAAATATATGAACAAATAAGATGTTAGTCAACACAGTCAACGCATTTGTCATCTCAGTCAACAAAAGCTGATTATAGATCTAAAGGAAATCTTTGAGTTTTAGTTATTTATAATTTGTTAATTGTTTTGCATTTAATGAGGGATTCGACTGGATTTGAATTCAATAAGAGGATTTGATGCTGGATTCAGATTCAAGAAAATTGAGCCCAGCCCATTTTCACATTGTTTATTATTATGGTTATTGCAGTACTCAAGTAAGTAACTAAGTTAAAGGCCTTCAAGGTTCCTATCGGTTCCTAGTATCTGACCCAGAACCATTGGCAGGTCCAAATTAGGCTATGTTCAGACCAGCTTATAAAACACTGTCCCCTCATTTATTTAGATGGTGTCGGTAGAGTGGGGATGCCAAAGCAGAGGGTTCTGACAAAAAAAAAAAAGTTTGTCTGGCAGTAAACTTGAACCTGGTTCACATTTTGCTGCAACGCAATGCAACTTCCTCCATCATGGTGCTGCGTTGGCCATGCACACATTCCTGGGGGATTACATTACAACGCAAACGCAGGATTTCTACTGTGTACCTCACAGTTGTTACAATGAAAAATGAAATGATTGCCCCGTTCTAACTTTCCACAGTTGTAAAACCCTGTCTCATAATAGAAACCACAGAAACAACTCCAGTTGCAGTGAGTTTGCTGAAAACGAATGGGATTTAAGTTTACTGCCCTGGATCCTGCATCACATGCTGACTGATTAGTCTCATACAAGGTCAGGTTCAAATGGACTTTGTAACAAAAAAGGAAAATGTTGTCTCGCTTTCTCTCTCACTTATAGCAACATTCACAGAGTTGTTCCACACGTGGCGCTCAGATTTCTTCCTGGTTCAGCTGAAGGTGACAGATGAGGACGTGTGTGAGTTTTACCATCTTTATCTTATCAGGGCCGTTTCTTGGCTGTGTGCAACTTTACACTCATCGCAAACACACAAGCAGAGAATTAGTCCTTCCCTTCATATTCTTTTCCTGCTTAGCACGTGGCTGCATTCAGATTAAATGAGAGAAACACATGACAGTTCAATAGCTCAATGAAGGTGCAGTAACCAAACCGCACCAACTTTTTTAAATGTTGTGCTTGAGCTTGAGGAGGAGGACAGGTCAGTGTAGATCACCGTCCATCGGTGGACAAGCCCAGAAGAAAACTAGAGCACACAGGTTTTTCTTTAATTATTTATTCAGTTCATGGGCTCAATTGTAATACAGTGTAAGAATCAGTAAATGAGATTATCAGATGTGTTTATAAACACACAGCATTCATTTTTATACCATCCATACTTTTGGATTTGTTAAGCAAATATTTCCTTGAGTCCCTTTTAGTCAATGTGTAATGCAGTTTTTCATGATTTTTGACACAATGCATGATTTTGCATTGTTTTGATGCCACAATATATTAAGTTGAATACCAATTACCAGCTTTAACAGAAGTCTGACAGTCACCATATTTAAGCGTGTTTCAAGGCCATATAAAGCATATTAGGGACAAAAGTCCCAGTAAACATCGATTCATAAGGTGTGAGTTCTGCAATATTGTGTAACATGGAAAGAGGAAGAAATCTCAAAGGTTACAACAAACTGATCACTTAAGTTAAATCAGCTTCTCTGACACTTCGGTCTCTCGCGCTTGTACGGCTTTGAAATGTAGAATTGTCACAGAGATAAGATCTCTGCCAGTTATATCAGCTTCTTTGTACTGTTTATGATTTACTGGGCAATTCAAGTTCACAAAGTTAATGGCTTTTCTATGCGCATCCACAGTAAAATGTGAACTCTCTGGCTGCGTGTTTATTTCATCCTTTAACTGAATTTTTGCTTTTAACAAGAGGAAGATGCCGTTGTGTAAGAGATTTATTGTGTTGCCTAAGTGCAGCAGCAAAGCGCAAACGTTTGTACAGTAAAAGGTTGAAGGCTTGCTTAGCTGCCTGGTGAGGAGTAATTGAAGAGCACAAAGAGATAAACAAACACGTGTCGGGTGGAGGAAAGTGGACTGTAAAAAGGCCTCCGCGTCAGCGAGCTTAACATTTCTCCACAGACTCAACCTCTGCATCTTAAGCTTATTCACACTGCTTTTATATTCAAGGCTTTACGCCGGTTAACTACCATTTCATTCACTCTAGTTTTCATGGCAGTGTCAAAGTGAGCACAAAGAGCAGTAAGGATTGCACTGAAGGCTGTCTTGTCCCTGCTCGTGCACACCAAGGAGGACTACTTTTTATTTCTCCCCCGAGTTACTCTTTGTCACAGGCTGAGCTATAAATTCTTCCCGCTTAAGCAGCCTTCTCTGGCTCTATTTTTCTCCCCTTTCAATTAATAGGAAACACATCGGTTGAAGGAGGGTCTTGGTGTGTGAGAGTCCATACATCACCTAAACTAGAGCACTAACACACCCCCTCCAACCCTCCTCCGCCTCCTTCCTCCTGACACACACACACACACACACACACACACACACACACACACACACACACACACACACACACACACACACACCGACAGCCCCCATCTGCTCCCAATCATGGGTGCAGCCAGCGGTCAGGTCGCTGACAACCTACACAACATAGGCACGCTAGGCATGAGGTCAGCCATACAAACACACATACTAAGACACACACTCATGTAGGCGTGTCCTGAAATCAGATATTTGGTTGTAAACATGCGCACTGACGAGACGCTCTGAAACATCCGCGTTAAAAACAAAACAAAAGTAAACCTACATGCTATCTCTCTGTTTCACACACACACACACACACACTGAGGCACAGTGACAGATGAACATGAGACATCCTGGCGGCGTGCTTCACTGATGACAGGGTGTCATGGAAACGCCCAGTGTTCTCCATGGTTACGCACTCTTTACCCCCCACGGGATACTCTCTTATGATTGTTCAGACAGAACACTTGAGCTACTACAACAATTCAACGTGGCCAAAACACACACACACACACACACACACACACTTTTTCTTATCAGGATCTAAATGGACACAAATTAGCCTATTATGTGCTTTTGGGATTAGAGCGGCGATTTAGCCTAATAGTCTGTTTTCGTGCTCTTGCTCACAAAGCATGGGAGATATTTGCCAATAAAGCCTTGACGTTTAAATCCTAGTTGTGTGGATCTGGAGTGCATCTTTAGTGGAAAAGACGCGAAAGCACTTTCTTTTACCTTCTCATAGTTAGACCGACTGGCTGAATTGTGGATCACATGCTGGCGTCACTTTCAGGTTTCGACCGTTTGGCTTCCTGTAAAGCTTGTGTCTCAACATCCCTTTTTGCGTGTGTGTATGTGTGTGTGTGTGTGGGTGTGTGTGTGTGGGTGTGCGCGGTTGGTCTGGCTGTGTGAGAGGTCTGTGTGTCGATGCAAATGCACAGGAGCCTTGATGTGTTTGCTCTGTACAACATGCACCAGTAATGAAGACAAAAGCATGTAGCGAGGCATGACTCCCTCACAGTTCCTTCTGCTCATTAAGCTGTTAATGCAGCTTCCTGTGCATGTGTCTTCAGGCCACTGATTAATAATGCTGCTTGTTTTTCATTAATATCACCGTAATGAACACGCACAGTTGAGCATGATTGTTAAACTTTTCCTTTTTTCCCCCTCCAGACTCCATTGACCAGCCTATATACGACCCCCCCCCCCACCAAGAGTGAGGGGAGTGGGGATCTGATCGTCCATCATCTCGGCGCCGTCACAAGGTGGGCTAACATCCCATATGGTTGGCATGGAAACGGCCTGCTGGGTTTAGGTTGAGTGGTTTGCCAGAGACAGTTTCTTGTTGTTGCCACACTCTTGCAACATCCTCCTGACCTGAACGCTGAGAACAGTGTGTGTTTTCTGAAGCAAATGTTTTATGGAGGTGTTTTGTGTTTGAGGTCTGGATTTAGGAAGGTGGGATAGTTTTTGGCGAATGGGTGGTGGTGGTGGTAACTAGAGGGAAACAAAGAGGGTTGAGCACATGATTTTCAGGCAGATGAGAAAACAGAGAGTGGGAAGATGGCAGGGAGACAGGAGGAGAAATCAAATTATTCTTTGTGCTCTACCTGCCACATAGGCTGAAAGAGAGCATTAATCTTTTACCCCTGCCTGCAGGTGACAACAACAAACACACACACACACACACACACACACACACACACACACACACACGTACCTAGACTTAACCAAACCGCACTCTCTCTTTCGTTCACGTGCAGTCTCACGCATGCTTTTGCAGGAGTGATTGTGTGCAGAGTGAGGTGTGTAAGAGAGGGGAGGAGGGACCAGACTCCAGGCAGAGGAGATACAGGACATGAACAGCCAAGAGTTAAAACAGGGAAGTAAAAAGTCCTGTTCATTTTCCATAGATAATGTTGGGTGACTGACAGTTGGAGCACTTCTGAGACTTGGACGGGCATGAAACTCTCCCATTTAAATCATTAGTATAAAAAGCATTTGTTTCTTTTGATAAAAAGCCAGGAGAGAAGATTGATAACGACAACATCATTGAAAGAATTTACAGAAGGGAGAAATATTCCCAAAATCTGTTCTACTGGGTTAGACCATCGGGCTTGTGCAAGTACTCCAAGCAAAGCAGCTGCAGCTCTTGTTATGTCACTGGTGTGAGTTTCCATGGTCAGACCAGGGCCGTGTGCCTCTGTTTTGTCAACAGAGATTATGAAAGAGAGCGGCTGGCAGGCAGGTAGGCGGGGGAGGCGACAGCTATTTGCATCACCCAGCCTGAGCAAGGCCTGCCCGGCAAACTCTGTCACCTTCCCTCTCCCTTCCTATCTACTCTTCCCTTTTGTCGCCAACATCCAGTGCCCTGCTCACACCGGTCCTGCCTTCTTGGTCGTATCCACCCCAACTAAAAAAGAATGGAATGGAAACCGAGACGCTTGTCAAACAAACCCACAGGAAGTTGTGATGGCAGCCTGTGCCACAGTTCTGCCATCTCAGCGTTTGATAGATGGTGAATGAACGTACTCAACCAACCATTGTTTTACCAGTGAGAACTCTTCTATTTTTATTTGCCTTTCAATAAAAAAATAAATAAATTTCTGTGTTGACCTTCAAGCTCTTGAACAGAACAAATTGTGTGAGTTTTAATTCAACCCAGAATGAAGCTGTATCATTGGCTGAATCCACTCTGGGGTTGACGCTTAAACAGGAATAAATATGTACAGGTTAGTGCAACACAGAATAAAGATATGTCTTGATTGTATTTGTTGTTGTTCATTTTTCCCGTGCACTCGCCATCTGCCCCCAGTAAGTCTTTCCGACACGTTCTTGTTTGTTGCATTGTTTTTTTTCCCCTGCTGTGACTCACTGTGTCGTGGGAAGTCGTCTCTCCACTTTGCTTTCTGTCTGCCCAAACCTAATTTTTTTGTTTTAAGCTGCTGCTCATCTATTTAAATTCCGCTCCTGTAAAAGTCCAAGAGTTTAACTCACCAGTGTTAGTTATTGAAGCTCTGCTCATCTTATTGTAAACATTTTTATTGTGCTCACTGAGGTATACAAAAAACACACCAGAGTGAAAAAGTACCACTCGGTTTAAAGTCATAGTTCTAAAGGATGTCTAGAATTGGGAATTGTGTGACTTGAATATTTGAATTTAAGTTAGGTAAACAACTTTCTCCTTCCTTTCAAAACAGAACTCATTCATTCATTGTTTAAATTTGAGAAAACAAATGTTCTCTGATTGACATCCATGTAATGAATAGTTAATATTGAAAGTTTAATCCACCGACTCTACAAACCATTTAAAGGTTATTGTTAGAAACAATAAAAAATCTCTTTGCAAACTTAGTTTTCTTTTGTGCAATAAAACAGTTTGTAATTATTTAAAAAAAATAGCTGAAACAAAACAGAAACCCCACAGGCTGAAATGTCATATGCATCCCATTTACACAAAACAAACGATATATTGAAAATTTTGCTACTCATACAGTCAGTTATAACCCAAGCAACCCTTTCTCCTCAGCGTTCATGCATGCCAACTGCATGGAGGAAATTCATAATATCCAGTAAAATGCTTTCCACACAGCATATCAACAGATGTGTCAGAAGCATTGTGTCGTTTATGGTGAAGATGTCTGACTGACAGTCATCACTTTAACAGAGGTTAGCAGGAAGTTCAGGGGGTCAACAAGAAACATTCAGATGCACCCTCTGGGAACCGTGAACATATATAGTAAATGTCATACAAATCTGGCCATTAGTGTTCAAGGTCATGGAGCAATGTGTTGATAAAGGGGGATATTTGTACATCTAATACGTCACAATTAGATCTCCCAGTAGTCAACTTATGTCTGTGGGACTGCCCTCTATCATGTGAACTTAACTTGGAATGGGTAGCATTTCCCTTTTCCCTCTGTATTGCCATAAAGCCATAAAGTCTGTGGTTCCTGGTGAGCAATGCTCCCATTGAGCTCCAGGCTACAGGGTCACTGGCAGGCTGCTGTCCTGTAGCAGACCTGAGGAGTTTAGCTTTACCCCAGGTGATGCCACAGCTGTGTTGACCTTAGTGATCCTCCTTTCGCAAACCGTCTAACGACCCGCAAATTTGTGGGTCAGCTGTCAGCGTGAAGGCGGTGACCCCTTGAAATCATCAAGATCAGGGTCCTGACTCTGGTCAAAGGTAGTGTGAGCGTTCAGAGCTGCTTACCTGCATGGGTGCACTCACCTGTACGTGTCAGAAGGCTCTCCCATGGCGGCTGAGTCAGCTGGGAGCTAAATGTGTCTTTGTCTTATTTGAATCTCTGGCCGAGCCACAAGCAGCTGCTGCTTGGTAACCACTCTGATTAACAGCTTCCCACTATTGCCTCTGGCCCTGATTAATGTCTTTGAGTCATCTTCAACTATATGAGTTAGTCTATAGACCTAAATGAACATGCAGCTGATCAGAAGCAAATGCAGAAGCCGTGTGGCCCGGGGAGTGTGTTTGTTTCTGTCTAACTCTAAGCTGTTGTGTCATAAATGATGCCTTCCTTTCCACTTAATTTCCCCACTAATTTTTCCATCTTTAGGCTCTTTGTTTTCATGCTAGGTGTATCTCCAACTGAGCAGAGTAAATGTTTATGTAAACTTTCAAACAAGAAAGAGGTGCATGGGAATCAAAGTCTGTTTCCATTTGTATTGTAATATTCTGAAGAGGGAGGCAAACGTGTTCGCAGCTGTTCCAAACAGCCACACTCCTATGGAGACCGAAAATTTACATCCTTGATATAGACAAACGAGGCATGATAATTGTTTAAATATGAGGATAGAGGTGGACATTTTCAGACTATCCTGGGTGTGTTCCACTGAGTTGTAAGCATGAAAAGTCACAAAATAGTTCTCTTAAAAATAGTTGTAATAAAAAAGAGGGCTTGAGACACAAGAAACCCTCCTTACTATCATCCCTCATCTCCACATACCTGTACAACGGCTGCGTCATGTGGGTGCGAATGTCAGATTGTTTGTTTTGGAAAGTTACACATATTGTCAGACACAGAATCCTTATTGCTGCTTGGATCCTTAAAGAAGCTTTTAGAGTCTTTTCCTCCAAATGTAACTGTATACTCTAACCATCTACAATAGATCATCAAAAATAAAAGCATAATTATTTTCATGACTTCATTTAATCCTCTTCTCGATGCACCGGCTTTTCCCACCATAGGCTTTTTTAATTTTTCCAATTCTAATTTTATTAATGCAATTAATACAACATGTGCATTAACCCAGGTGCAGAGACACTAAGTTACTGTCTGCTTTTTGTTCTATACTCACTCTCTCTCATTTACTGCTTCTCACTCTTTCTCCCTTAAATTGCCATCTTTATGCCCATCTCTCCTCCTCTCCTTGCTGCCCTCCAAACTTCCATCACCATCTTCCATTTCCCTCTTTACACGTCTCATTCCCACTGCCCCCTGCTGCTGTATTGTACCCACCGCAGCCCCGCTGCCTCTCTGCCACCAGGCCCCACTGCCTGTGGCGTGTAATTGACTTTCTCCCTGCACTGGAAAAGCGGGCGGCCTGCGCCAGGCTGGAGGTGACCCATTTCCCTGGGGCATTCAGCAGCCTCCTAATCAACCATTCTCTGGGGCCGCCTCATTCACTCTGCAATTAGAGCAACTCCCCCTTTGAGAACTCCATCAATAGGCTGGCAGGCAGGCAGGCGGGCTCGTACGGCGGAGGAGCAAAGACGGAGTTTTCACTCAAACACTTTGCTTTGGCGCTTCAAGTTCTGAACCTTCCGACTTTGTGCCTCCCCCTTCTCTGCTTTTTGCCTCTCCTGCTCCTCGTCTCCCTCGTGGTAGGTTTCATCAGACAACAGCAAGCGGGGGTTTTGTCTAACTATGAGAAGCAGACGGGGAGGCAGGTAGACAGGCACGCAGGGAGGCAGACAGGAGGAAAGAAGGTACTCAAGGGACAGATTAAAAGTGAAATCTGAAAGAAACTCAAAGCGGGAGGGATTGAGCAAGATGAGCGGCGCGTCTTCAGAGCATCTCTTGCTTTTAGAACAAGATTTATGAGTATTCCCCGTTGTTGTCTTGCAAGGGAATACACTTGTGTTTCACCTGGTCTTGAAGACATGCATGAAAGCAGCCTGCATATTGATTCTGTCTCAATAAGAAGGTGTGTTCACTGCTTGTTTCAGCCGGATATGATCTTGTTGCGAGCCAAGAGCGCCCGACTGAAGATTAGAACGTTCTCTGAAACGAACGCAATCAGACGTTTTTGTGGATTCGCTCTGATCCCACAAGAAGGAGCCTGAGATGATGGTGCATGGTGATTAAATAACAGGCCGGCATCTCTCCCCCTGCCGTTGGCCTGATTTGCTATGCAAGAGAGGCAGTGCTCTGGTCAGAGGATAACCATGTAATCAATGGAATGAAAAAGCTGCTCTGGCTGTGAAGGTTAAGAGGGGTACTGGAGGCTTTCAGCCCCCTCTGTGTGCCACACATGCATTCAAAACACACACCAGACAGTCTGAATGTTACATCTCCTCCTCTTTTTTCCCCTCTCACCTGTTCCCCTTCCTTCCTGTCTTTCCTTGACATGCTTTTATCTCTTTTTCTCTCACTTTGCTCCCTCCTACTGCCTCTACCTCTTTTCGCTCTGATTCCCCCCCTCGGTATTTTTTTCTTCCTCTGCATTTTCTCTGTATATTGTCTGTCTCCCACTGTATTTGTTCTCTCTCTCCCCTTCATTTACTCTCCCTTCCTCCATCCTCCATCCTCTTTTCCCTCCCTCCCTCCTACCTTTCCCCAGTGTCAGCCACTGTCACTGTGGCAAAGAAAGTGACCAATCAGAGTACACTTCACAGCACCGGCTTCTCCCTCCCACCCTTATTTCTTCGGTTTCTTCCCTCTATCTCCTCCGCCTCCTCCTCCTCTTAGCCTCCTTTCGTCCCATCTGCTCTCTTCCCTACAACCTTTATCAGCTCACTTCCTGGAGACGAAATGTGATGCATTATGGGAGACAGACGGCTGTCTAACGGGGTTAGTTGTGCAGTGTGGCTTATCATCAGAGACACTGCTAATCCTCTGTGTGTGTGTGTGTGTGTGTGTGTGTGTGTGCGCGTGTGCGTGTGCGCAAGCGAATGTACCATATGAGCTGATGAACTCATACTTGCACAGGCCCACACAAACAAACACAAGCTCACATGCTTACTCTCTTTTTCGGAGGAGGAGGCAGACGAGACATGTTTATGTTCGTCAGTCTCTGCCAGGAGAATACGATTTGCATGATATAAGCATATTTTACCCTGCTGTGAACTGTTTTGCACCGTATCCACCAGCCTCTGTATTGGTTATTTTTGCTGAGTTCAAAAGGACAACTCCAATGTCTGCTACCCTTCACAATTACCTAAATAATAGGAGTTAAAGGGACTATATAATCCCTTTCTCTGCCTTTATTAATGCCTTATTTACAGCTATATATGTGTGTGCTCCTTCAAATCAGGTGCTGATATGTGTACACGATGAGCGGACTGGGGGAAAACTCCATGGAGCCTCTGAGCTCAGAAAACCGGAAACGCAAGCTCTCCACTTGTGACACGCCTGGTCTGGGGTGAGTGTGGCTGATCAGCACAAAATGCAGGGAAAGTGTGCTACTGGGTCAGTGGTTTCTCTAGCCCGAGCCATGTGGCTTCTTTTTGTGCTGCGATCAGTAAGAACCGAAAATGTGTACAAAAATATAAGAAGATTTTTAATGTACTTTTGGTTGTTTGAAAAGTGTTTTCTTTAACCTGGTAAAAGTCTTATTGAGTGTAAAGGATGGTAGGGATATACGCCTGCAGACTGACCCCAAACCACAAATGTATTTAAGTAGACAATGTTTTGAGTGGGATTGAAACGTAAATAAAATATACACAACATCAGGCCAAGATATCAGGCCAAAATATACACGACAGGCCAAGAAAACACTCATAATAAAGACATAATGCATAGTAGCTATAAAATAAAAAGGGAGACAATTTTGAGAAGTACACTTATTCTAAAATGTCAAGTCCCTTGAGGCATATTTGTGATAACAGGATATATAAATAAAATAGGCTTGACATGACTTAGCTTTCATGTCAAGACAGGGAGCAGGGGAAATGGCAAGCGTGCTGACAAGTTGTGGTTTTTGCGGGGGTTATGCGCTGGACTATTTCCTGGCCAGGTGCAGTGACTTGCTGGAGTCTCTGTCGGTTTCTGGGCACTTTGTGTGCCTGTGCCCAAAAAGCAAACAGTTGCTATGCTTTTTCTATCAAACTACTTACCACATATCTTGCTGCCAAACTACATTGTTTTCAAATGTTTGAACATCACTGACAATTTGAGAAGAGTGGAGTAGCATTAGCCTAGCTCTGATCCTTCCACATTTCCCTCTGCAGCTGTGAGAGGAAGCGACGGGAGCAGGAGAGCAAATACATAGAGGAACTGGCGGAGCTGATCTCCGCCAACCTCAGCGACATCGACAGCTTCAACGTCAAACCAGACAAATGTGCCATCCTCAAAGAGACGGTACGCCAGATCCGCCAGATCAAAGAGCAGGGTGAGTGGACGCAGTTGTCTGAAATCCTAAAGGCTACTGAGAGCTGGAACTGGACAGGTGCACCGCAAGTCAGATGAACTGTTGAGAAGTGTGTGTGTAGGAAACATTGGGAAAGGTGTTGGAGTGGGGAGACAGCTGGGGGTTAGCAGAGACAAACACACGTGCCTCCTCAGAGCCCAGGTGCAAGGACAAATCAGTCATTCAACTCCCACAAATTTCACAGCCTCAACTGTTTATGTTTGGGAGGAAACATGGGCATTGCTTTGTGAACCTGTCGTGTGTGTGTGTGTGTGTGTGTGTGTGTGTGTGTGTGTGTGTGTTATGGGCATGCACAGCTGTGTTCTGGCCTCGCCAGGGGCTGTTTAATTGGACGTTTGCAGGTAATCACATGCCCATCCATTCTGCTGAACTGCTAAATTATTAGTTCGGTTACAGCTGCTATTGTCGTAGTTCCGTCTCCATTATACAGCGGTCATTTCTACAGCAAACAATTTTAAAAAGCTGCAGGCTGAGACACTTGCTTTGCAGATGCACCTTCAGTGCAGACTGGACATATTTTAACTCTTAAATTCAGACCTGTGTCAGTTAAATTTTTACCATTCAAGGCAAATTTCTCGAGATTAGGGTGACAGCCTGTGGTAAATTTTTTGCTCTTGTGTTTCTGCTCGGCTCAGTCAGCGACTGCCACCTCGACAGGATGGGGAAGAGGCTACAGCTGGCCCTGACTGGCTGCTGACATGTTGCCATAGTTACAGGAAGTGAAGACAGAAATGACACAGGCGTTTAGACTCTCTTTCTACCTGTTCCTCTTCTCCTCCTCTCACTTTCAGTTGCTCTTTCTGTCTGTCTTCATTTTTTCTCTTTTCTCCATCAATCATTCCTGTTTTTCACCTCACTTGGATTTAATGTACTCTGCTCTTGCATCTTCTTCCTCTTCTGCTTCTTCTGCTTCCCCCACCCCCACACCCCCTCATCTGTATTGCAGCACAATGAGTTGCAGCATCTTCAGGTTTGCTCCCAGCATCTTAAGATATTGAGTGAACTGATGGAGTGCAGCCTCTCTCTTTCTGTCTCACACGCACTCTGTTAATGTCTCATTCTCTTTCCTCTCCCTCTTTCTGTCAGTCCTTCTGTACCTAACTTCACAGCGCCTGGCTGTATGCAGCAATGGCTTTTTTTTTCTTTGTGTGGGCATCTGTGCCCCCTGGGAACTAATCAGATAGAATGATTCCTGTAGACGAGCAGCCCCCGCCTCTTTCTCAGACCAAGCCCTGTATTAATACAACAACCCAAACGCCAGCCGTTTTCTTTCCACATCCCTCTGGTTCAGCTCTGGCCCTTCCTGTCTCTCTCTCTCTCTCTCTCTCTCTCTCTTTCTCTCGCTCTCTTTATCTGTCTGTCTTTCTTTCCCCCTCTCAGCCTCAGCCCCTCCATTAATTCAGGTGCCTCAGCTCCTGCCCCTGCACCATTACAGCTTCCAGAGCCTCTCTAGCTCTCTCCCGCGCGCTCTCTCTCTCTCTCAGCCCCAGCCTACCAGACAGTCCCTCAGTCTGACACTGAATATAAAGCATGAGGACGGCTGCTACCTGCTCCACATGCACCCAGCCCTCTACTCCTCCTGACGGGCTCCTCAGAGAAACCTGCCTCCGTCCGTCTCCCTCCTCACCTGTAGTTTTATATATTCAAAAAAAAAAAAAAAAAAAAAGGAGTGAAGATTGAAAAACGCTGCCCCCTGCTGGTGCAGCTAGAGTAGTAAATAACTGTTTCCTCCAGGTTCAGGTATCGTTGCTCTCACCTTGTGTTTCTCCTTTGCTCTTTTTTTGCTTCTTTGAAGGCAGTTGGGCTTGAAATGGCTCTATGTTGTGTTTTCTTTCTTAATGCATTTTTTCTCTTTTCCCCTCCCTTTTCCCTCCCACAGGAAAAGCTTCATCCAACGACGACGACGTTCAGAAGTCAGACGTGTCATCGACAGGTCAGGGGGTCATCGACAAGGACCACTTGGGGCCGCTCTTGCTGCAGGTGAGTCCAGCTCTCCACGCACGTCATTCGAACAATATTTTTCCAAGGTTTGATTGGCTGGTGGTGACTTCCTGCCGCTGTGCTCTCAGGCTCTGGATGGCTTTCTGTTTGTGGTGAACCGCGAGGGCAGCATCGTGTTTGTGTCGGACAACGTGACGCAGTACCTGCAGTACAAACAGGAGGAGCTCATCAACACCAGCGTGTACAACATTCTCCATGAGGACGACAGGGAGGAGTTCCACAAGAACCTACCCAAGACCAACAGTGAGAAACACACACTCACACTTGCACACATAGACACAGGGAAGCTGCACGTCTGCTTAGAAGTAAACCCACTTGACATCTTTCACAGGGCCGAGGTATAAAACTAACTTTGAGAGGTTACAACAACTCCATACGCACCTCAACACAAACTCACTAAGTTATTTATTCCATACTTAACTCCTTCTTTCCTTATAATGAGGAGCTCCCAGGAAGCCTGTTCATGTGCATGAGTGGTTTTCAGAAGGACACACACACACACACACACACACACACACACACACACACACTCACTCACCTGACAAAACACACGTGCACAGGAGCACCCACCCACTCGGTGCTAAGCAGGCAGAGCGTAGCGCAGCTGTCAGTCACACTCAGTGGTCCAGACAGTGTAAAACAGGCCTGAGCTCTATTCAGATCCCATAGCAGCCATCTGGAAACTACTTACTGCTGAATAATGCACCTCCACACTTTCCTCTGTTTAATTCACTGTGTGTTTGCATGTGCACTTGTATGTCTTATTGTGTATATTTTCATGCATAGATGTCCGTAATGGGATTGCAGTTTTTGAAGGTGCTACCTCTGTGTGTGTGTGTGTGTGTGTGTGTGTGTGTGTGTGTACACCCATGAGTATGTGCATAGAGCACTATTTATAAAGCTGATTAATTATGGATATGTGTGCTCGACTGAACCTGCTAAGATTAACTCCACAGTAATGTTCCTAAGCTGTGGTGGTTCCGACATGCCATTGACACGTTCTCTCACTTATTCCTCCCCTTCCCCTGCACGCTCCTTTATTCATTCACTCTCTTTTATCTTTTAAAACTCATCTTTACTCTACTTTTCCTCTGAGCGTCCCTTGTGCCTCCCTCAACTCACTCTTTTCTCAGCCTCATTCATACTTAATATGGCTGCCTACTAAGATGAATATTGTGGTTGTCTGTTTCTCAACCTGATTCTCGCTGCTCTCCCCCACCCCTCATTGTGTCTCGCTCTGCTGCTCGGCCCCTTCATTATCTTTTGGTCTCATGAATGAAATACCCTCTCGCTGCACATTCCTGTGGGATGACCGCTGACCGTGCCAGCTACCGTCAAACACACACACTCGGACACAAGCGCCCAAGACACACATGCACTAACAAAAACAGACGCACACTCAGCGCACAAATGATGAAGCGAGCTTTTGTTATTGGCCAGTGTGTTTTTTGACCCCTCTGCCTTGCCTCGATGTTGGCTAATTGTGTCTGAGGGGAGACATCGGTCCCTGTGACAGTGCTATATTTTCTCTGTTGAGGAGAGAAACCCAAGGCCTTGTTAAATCACCTGTCACTATCAGTTAGCCCCTCCCCACTACTACCATCCCACCCTCCATCCTCCCCCGACATGTCTCACTCTCCTGGGTTCTCGCTTGTATCCACCCTGTACCTGCCAGACAGAAACCTCCAGCCAACTCAAGGCCCTGATAAGGCTTCACACAGACCTCGGAGGACAGTTAGATATCTCTCTGAAGTTTGCCTCCCCCTTTTCACTCTACCTCCTTCTCCCCTGTGAAGGTGACCCCTGTCTAAATGAATGTGTATGTGTGCAGTGATGAGGATTCAGGGCCTAAATGAGGATAGATGGCTGAGTGTCCCTGGCCTCTGCCCGCTGCAGAACAGACTGAGAGGGAGTGTTATTGGAAATCGACACCTTGGCTACATTAATCCCATGGTCCATTTAGCCAGGGATCTGAACAGCAGGAGAGGCTTCTGCTTCTCAATTTAAGAGGGAAAATACATGTTGCAATGTGGTTTGTTTGTTTGCCCTGTGTGTGTTGGGGTATGTGGATCCGCGGCAGGAAAGGGTGTGAGCTGTTGCGATATTTGATTACAGAGAACCCATTCATAGCTACATTTGTTTTCAGTCCCAAGAGTTGCATGCTCATTCTATTTTACTCCCGAGTATAAATTTCTTTTTGTTTGTGTTTCCTTTTAGTAAATGGAGTGTCGTGGGGAAGCGAGGCGGCCCGACAGAAAAGTCACACCTTCACTTGCCGAATGCTGGTCAAGTTTGGCCACGCCCACATGGAGGAGGGGCCACGCTACGAGACTATGCAGTGTTTTGCTCTTACCCAGCCCAAGGCCATGATCGAGGAGGGGGAAGGTACACTGGCAGAGACCCAAATATACATGCTTTTTAGTTCACAATAAGGGGTCATTATTTTAGGAGTTCACTGTATTGAAAGAGATTTATTCATCTGTTTGTTGGCACTATTTAAAGTCCCCCTCCACTCAAAAATGTGTTTTGCCTGTTGTTACTTCACTTTGACCTCTGCTGAGCCGAATGATGTACGTGCAGACATTGATTCTAAAAGGCTGTTTTCACATTCCTTCGGAAGGGGAAAAGTAGGAAAGTTTCTTAACACATATATGTATAAGCATGAATTTATGAATTCACAGCTCCATTTGAAATCCAGTTGTGGTCCAGTATGCAACTTACACAAATTGGGTGTGGAAATGTAAAGAATGGAATTTTTTGATGCTCAGAGAAAATTTGTTAGAAAATGCCCGCACATTGACAGAAATACTATATGAGGCTCATGTAAGATGCAGAAAGAATTAATACACAACATGTGCAAAAATGTGAAAAAAGAGAACATTTCGGTTATAGTATATATATTATATGTATATCATCAACACAACTTTTCACCTGACACTGTTTCTTGAAAAGAAGAAAGCTAGAGAAGCAAATCTCAGAAAGTCAAAATAGTGAGCCTTAAGTAAATGCAATGATCATGAAATCTTACTGACACTCCTCTCCTTTCACCTGCAGACCTTCAGTCATGCATGATCTGTGTGGCCCGTCGGGTGACAGCCATGGAGAGAACGGAGAGTTTCAATACCCGGCATGAGCTCTCAGGTGAGGAGCTGCATACCCTAAATGCCCGCTAAACAAACACAGAAGCTCAAACAGGACAGGATGTTCCTTCTTTATCCATGAACAGGTTTGACTCATCCCCCTTTCATGTCCTTGTTTTCTTCCCCCTCACTCGTCCTCCTTCCGTCCTCCCCTGCAGGTAAACTGATCCAAATTGACCAGAACTCTCTGCGAGCGTCGATGCGTCCCGGCTGGGAGGATTTGTTGAGGCGTTGCATTCAGATGTTCCTTCAGCACAGTGATGGGCAGCCCTGGTCACACAAACGCCACTACCATGAGGGTGGGTCACACACGAACACACACACACCTGGAATCAACTGCTGAAGTCCTTCAAACTTAGCAAATTCATTCTTGTTAAGCGCTGTTAAATCCACAATGAAAGAGCTGGAGGCAAAATGATCAGGATGTTGTTATTTAATTAACTGTTTACTCTGTAGTGTTTTCAATCTTCTCTCTTACAGCACAATAGTAATAGCTATGAACGGTACACTATCTGACTTAAATTATTTTGAATTTGTTGTTGTTACCTATCTTGGCCAGGCCTCCCTTCAGAAAGAAACTCAATGAGACCTACTGGTTAAATATATAAACACACATACACCTCATGCATTAGTGTATTAATATCGATCTCATGAATACAAATGTCTGAGCGCAACAACATTGATCCTCTCTTTAATCACAGAGTGGCTTTACGCGCAAAGACAGTGATTGATGACCTTTGTTATCAGATTAAATGTTTCAGGGTGTTCATTTGTTGTTTTATCTGTCTGTGCAGCCTTTCTGCAGGGTCACGCTGAGACACCCTTGTACCGCTTCTCCCTGTCCGACGGCACTCCAGTCACAGCCCAGACCAAGAGCAAACTGTACCGTCACCCCATGAGCAATGAGCCTCAAGGCTTCATCTCCACTCACCTACTACAGAGGTCAGAAACTGAAAGTACACGCTCCATTCAGACACAGCAAACGATGTCATTTACTGTACTGACAAAAAAGCACTTCCAGTGTATCTATGTGAGGCATTCATGCCATATGAATAGCTGAAGTAGCAACTGAAGTAGCTTTTATATACTGACTGATATTTTAGTTGCATTTATACTGAGCATCTATACTCTTAGAGCGTTTGTTGTGGGGGTTACAGTGTTTTCAAGGTTATTGCATTTTTTCAAACCTTGTGCTTGTTTTCCTTCTCCTTCCACGCAGGGAACCAAACGGGTACCGCACAGCTCAGGGTGGTAGCATGATGCCAAACACTATGAGACAACAGGGCATGGGAGGCCCCAACCCAAATGCCCAAATGAACATGAACACCGGTGGGGGGATGGGCATGGGCAGCATGGGCAGCATGAGCAGGGGCTTTGGCATGAACGAGCAGGGACACATTGGTCACATGGGTCCGATGGGAGGCGGCCCTATGTACGGAGGGAGCGGTGGAGGAGGAAGTGGAGGTGGAGGCATGGGCAACCGCATGATGCAGATGAATCAGATGGGGCAGATGAATCAGGTGGGGCACATGAATCAGATGGGTCCCATGAATCACCCAGGCCAAGGCATGCAGCAGCACCCACAGCAGCCCCCGTTTCAGAGCAGCGGAGGGTTTGGGCTGAGTGGCATGAACAGCCCTTCGGGAAGCCCCAGAATGGGCGGACCCCAGCAGGGTCTCCTGATGTCTCCCCGAAACAGAGGGAGCCCAAAGATGGGTGCCAACCAGTTCTCGCCCGGAGGTAAGTCGATCAATGGCAAATAATTCATCATCAGTTATTTATAAATGTATTGTTCGTTTTCTTGAATTAATTTGAATTACGTTTTCCTTTCCAGGCATGCACTCACCCATGAGTGGCATTGTCAGTGGTGGAGGAAGTGGGGGAAGCACTACCACCTTCTCCAGCAGCTCCTTAAACGCCCTACAAGCAATCAGTGAAGGGGTAGGGAGCTCACTCCCCTCAACCCTAACGTCTCCCTCGCCAGCCCTTAAACCAGACAGCTCTCCCAGCGTCCACTCGTCCTCCTCTTCCTCCCAGCCCGTTCAGCCAGCCAAACCAGGCCAAGATGGCTCCAAAAGCCCAGCAGGAGGATTAGGGCCTGGGCCCAGCGACCATCACCACCCCATGCACCACCATCACCACCATCATCAGCATCCTCAGGGTGAAAGTTCTGCAGAACGCCCAGACAGCCAGACAGCTACAGTGGCTAAAGAGTCTGGAGAGGGAAGCAGTGAGGCAGGGATGGTGAGCTCCGATCCCCCTCGGAGGGTGCCAGACAGTAAGGGGCATAAGAAGTTGCTGCAGTTGCTGACTTCCCCAACTGAAGAGCTGGGAGTAGGTGGCAGTGGGCCAACAGGGCCCCCTGTACCACCCCCACCAACTAGCAGCAGCACTCCGGCCAGCTCAGACAGTAAGGACCCCACCGGAGGCATGACTAGCCCCTCGTCTACTGGAGTCTCCTCCTCTTCTTCAGCCAGTGCCAATCCAGGCCAGGCAACAGGGCCAGGGGCCGTGTCAACATCACTATCGTCGGCCCACTACACAGGGTCACTGCAAGAAAAGCACAAGATCCTCCACAAGCTTCTTCAAAATGGCAATACCCCAGATGAAGTAGCTAAGATCACAGCTGAGGCTACAGGAAAGGTGACATTGGGGGGCCAGGAGGGAGGTGAGGTTGGAGCAGGAGGACCAGGAGCCGGGCCTGGGATGATCACAGAGCCTAAGCAAGAGCAGCAAAGCCCGAAGAAGGAGAAAACACATGCTCTCCTCCACTACCTCCTCAACAAGGATGATTCCAAAGAGCCAGTGGATGTCAAGCCTAAACTCGAAGAGCTAGATGGGAAGGGAGCCCCAGGGGCCACTGGTGGCCCTGCACGAGACTGTGCTGGATCTGGGCCCGTCCCAGCACCCGAACATCCTGAGAGCAAGATCAAGTCAGAGCCACCTGATGACGTAAGATTGCTTCTTTGTTGAGACATGATTGGACTGCAACTATAATATTGGTATTGACATTTAGCTAGCCACGTTACACCGAAGGCACCTGCACCGGCTATTTGGTCTTTACTACCTGTGATCTGGATTAATGTGAATCTTAATAGACATTTAGGTAATAACTAATTTGGTCTATTTTATTGTTCAGTTGCACAACCTAGAGTCTATCCTCGGAGATTTGAGGGGTTCAAGCTCTGACTTTTACCCGGATCAAGCTGGAGGTGGAGGGGCTAACGACGCTGGAAACAAACCCCAAGGTTGCCTTGACGACAGCCTGCAGGGTAAGTGGTCCAAGGACTAAAGCCTATTAGAAGTGACAGTTACATGCAGAGCAGATGTTATGACATCATATGTGATATCAACATGAAATGCCAGTGAAACAACATCTGGCATCATCATATGCTGTCTTTCTGAGGTTTGTTTTCCTCCTGCAGCTTCACTTCTGGTCTTCTTTCTTCAAAGCTTCACTTTTTTTCTGACCCTCTCGCCTTAGTTATGCTTTTGTTATAGGAATAACACTTGGTGGGCATATGCAATGCTTGATAGCAGTATTCATAGCAGTATTAAATACTATGAAAACATATGCAATTATATATCCTCACTCTCTTAATACTTGGTTTTTATGCATTCATTCCTATGAAATGGTCCTCATATGTGGCTCACACACAATCATGTAAGCTTTATAAACACTGAAAAATATTATATGATATCAATATTTTCAAAATGCTAGAGGGGGCTGAGATATAATTCTTTCACATATCACTTAATTTCATGCAACAAAGACATTATTTTCCCTATTCTTGAAGAAGGAGAAGCATCTGATCAGTGAGGTCTGTGGATCATATGCGGCTAAATGTGCCAATAACTAGGATGAAAACTATCGTTCCTTTTCAGCTATTGCCCCCAAATTGTGGAATGATTTACCTACACATATTAAACTGGCACCCACCCTTCTTACTTTTAAATCTCGCCTAAAAACACATTTGTGTACCATAAAGAGTGGTTGTGGTCCTTGTTGTTGATAGTTTTGTTGATTTCGTGTTTGTATATTTTTATGCTGCTTTTGTATTATTATACTGTTGTAAAGCACTTTGGTAACCTTGCTGTTTTTTAAATGTGCTATATAAATAAAGTGGATTGGATTGGATTGGAACGAGTTTATATTTATGTGTACAGGGAGTCCAGGAATGGGTCCCGGGCCTCGGGGACCCTTCCAGAGAGCCATGTCCATGGACGGGAAGCCTCCAGGTGGGCCTGGAGGAGCAGGTAGACGCCCCATGCTCATCAAGCAAGAGAACATGATGGGCGGCCAGGACGGTTACCCAGGAAACATGGGTGTGTGTTTTAAGTGGTTTAAGTATTTTGAGCACATTGTTCTCACTTCTCAAAAAACGTAAAAACGTTTATGATACTGACACATGCACATCTGATGTTTATGTATTATCAGGACCAATGAATAGGGGCATGGTTCCCCAGAGGTCTCCAATGGGGGGGTCAGGGGACTGGGGCATGTCCCGCTCCAGTGCCAGCCCCGTGGGCTCAGCAGGACATCCCGCCATGATGCGCCCAGGCATGGAGTATAACACTAGCAAGAGCATGATGTCTGGACCCATGGTCAGCCGCTCCAATAGTGTACCGGGAACCAGGTCTATGCTGCAGCAACAGCTCATGGAAATGGGTATGACTGTCAAATTGTTGCCAGGTGTTCATGGTGTACATGCTGTCCTGTCCATTACCTCTTACCTGTATAACCTGTAACTTATCAGCACTAAGATACTCTGTATGTGTTTAAATTAGAAATGTATTGTCTGTTGTTTAGGAGGCTCTGCTGACATGGGCATGGGTATGAGCCCCTTCAGCCAGCAGGGCCAGCCCAACCAGTCCTCTTCCTGGCCAGACCCTATAATGGGCATGGAGGGTAACAGGTCAGCGCAACATCCCTTATTGTCTGTATTCATTCCTAATTAGCTGCAATGAGCTGAGGAGGCAGTTTATTCTGAAACTGTAATGTGTGTGTGTCCGTGTGTGGATCCATTGTAGACGCCAGTTTGGCAACACCTTAGATGATCTTCTGGTGCCTCCCACCACCAGTGAGGGTCAGAGCGATGAGCGGGCCCTTCTGGACCAGCTGGATTCTCTGCTGAATAACACGGATGGCATCGCTCTGGAGGAGATAGACAGAGCCCTGGGAATCCCAGACCTCGTCAGTCAGGTAGGTCATCAGAAAAGATATAAAAACACTCTCATCTCTGTGCTCTTTAGATACCTCTAGAAGTAAAGTAAAGGAGGAATGATCAGTCTGCATATCATGACTCATAAGTGAGCCTTACATTCATTTTTGCATTAGATATTTCAGTCATGACTCTCGCCGTGTTCAGCCTGTTCCTTCACCGAAGGGAGATAGATGAGCCCAGAGGAATCTGTCTGTGCTGCTTAGAAAAAGACAATTACAGAGCCAACCATTTGGAAATTAATCAATTAGACAGAGAAGTTTGACAAACTCTTTTTGTCCTCTTGTCCTGTCTGCTCCAGAACCAGGGGGCTGAGCAGCAGATAGAGCCTTTTCCAGGGCAGGACCCGTCCATGATGCTGGACCAGAAGCCTCACTATGGACAGGGTTATCCCGGACCCCCCGCCATGCCTATGCAGTCTGGCTATGGAGGGAACCCCATGCAGGGACAGGCCCAGCAGGGGGGGTTTGGGCCCATGCTCTCTCAGATGGGCCAAGGTGGCAGCTTCGCCGGTATGGGTGGAATGGGCGGCATGGGACATCCCCGTGCCAACATGATGAGACCCAGGATAATGACAGCCAACAAACCCATGAGGCTCCAGCTGCAGCAGAGGCTGCAGGGACAGCAGGTATGAATACAGGAACCTCAATGATTCATCTGATTACATGCTAGCAAGTAGCTTGTGTACCAGTTACAGTTAATACGGTAGCTTTTGATGGCTTTTTAATGTTGAATTTGCGTTTAGCATCCTGAATTTGCAGCGTAAGTGATGTCTGATGCTTAATTTTCATTCCATACAAATGATTCCTAGCCACAATAGTGCACCATATGTGTTAGTACAGTTATTTATCCGTTAAAATACGGTATGAAAGTATGACAGGGTCAGAGTAACATTTGCTCCTCCATCTTATGTTGAACGCTCGTTTTCCTGCTTCAGTTTATGAATCAGACACGGCAGGGCATGGCCATGAAGATGGAGAACCCGGGAGGCAACCCTGGCATGAGGCCAAGCATGCAGCCTGGCATGGGAGGACAGGTAGATGACAAAAAACATTTTCATAGATCTTACAGATGAATCAGTGCGATACTGATTTTTTTAATATGAGAGTTAATGTCACAGATTTTTTGCTAATATCAGAATCAAGTTTGCAATCCACGTTGTGGTTTATCATCAAGCTGGAAACTTTAATTCATCAGGAAGTCCCTCTAATGGATGAACCTAGACCAAAATCCATGTAATAACAACATTACACATTAACATGTATAACTGTAGACATGATGCTGAAACCCACAAGTTATTAATGGATTGCCAACATTTAAATAAAATGGATAAACACAAGCCAAAGGGATTTTCCCAGAGGTTGTGCTTATTATTATTTTATTGTCCTTCTAATTATTCTAAGTATTTGTATGATATTAAGAATAGTTACAATTTAAAAACCCTTTATAAAGGGTGACTGATCAGAATGTGGTACTGATCCATTCAACAGACCAGATTGTCCGTTGTAGTCTTTGCTTCTCTTCCATTTGGTAGCCAGTTTAAAACAGACAGTGATGGATGTACAGAGAACAGACTGATTGCCATGTAGAACTGGCTCAACAGATCCTGTGGCAGGTTCCGCTTCCTTAGCTAGCTCAGGAAATAAATTATCTGCTGGGCCTTTTTTAGGAGGTTATTTTTCAGTTGTGCTTTATTACATAGATCCCAGAAATCTAAAGGTTTCAATTGCTGCTATTTTAAATTAGTATTATTTTATATTATTTTAGGCCATTTTCTTTGCCTTCAAATAATAGTATATAGTTAGAGGCAGACAGGAGCTGGATTCTAACCAGGTCTGCTGCAGTTTATGTGGACGCCCAAAGTATGGTTAGAGGAATACAGGTACTTTCCACTGGAGTCTACCTTCATCTCCACATTATATCTCCATATCAAATGGCCTACATGTCCTTTGTTGACGTTCATTTGATGAATTAATTAGAGGGGTCCATGTCGATACAGTCTTATATATTGTCGTTGGTGTAAAATTTGCTTATATAATTTTTTTTGCCTTTTCTTGAAGATATCTGTGATGCAAATTTGTAGTGATACAGCTTTCTGAAGTTATCTGAAAATGAAAGCCTCTGCTTGCATTTTGCATTCTTCACATTGATACTTTTTTAATTTTATTAAAGCTCCAAATATATTTATACCACATGCCAAACCTCCTCATACTCTCTGATTATGTTTGTTTTGTGTAGCCGGGTTTCCTTAATGCTCAGATGATGGCTCAGCGCAGCAGAGAGATGGTCAACATGCAGATGAGGAGACAGCGCATGATGATGCTGATGCAGCAGCAGCAGCAGGCAGCAGCGGCTGCTGCTGCAGCCGCAGGAGGATTCAGTCCTCCTCCAAACGTCACGGCTCCTGGTGGCATGGACAACCCTATGGGCGGGCCAAACATGGGCCCCCAGCCGGGCCCTCAGCAGTTTGGATACGGTGGGAACTATGGTGAGTATGCTGAGCTGGGCGCCCAAGAGAATACTGCTGCTCTCTGGTGGTGAGTCTGTGCACTGCAGGGTCATGAAATAAAGCAGATTGGTAGATTTATGTCAAACACAAAATTTGTTACAAGGCTGTCCATGTACATCTCCCTTGTCTCTGTTTTTTTATAGTCAGACCAAATATTGTTATTGAAGGGATAGTAAGTATCTGAACACACTCCCAGGCAACAGGATCGTCAACTATCTTTATTTATCACTATGTATTTTCTGTGGAGAGAGGAGTGAACTGAGGCTGGTTAATTTTTCTTTACAGGGATGGGCCAACAGGGTGACCCCTCTTTCGGCCCTTCAGGTGGCAGCCCTCCTAACGCCATGATGCCCAGCCGCCTGGGGCCTCAAAATCCCATAATGCAACAGCACCCACAGGGCAGTCCCATGTACCAGGGTGCAGATATGAAAGGCTGGTCGCAGGGAGGCATGGCACGCAGCAGGTATGAAATCATGCACATTTCCGACAGGTACTACAACACTGTGCTGTCATCAGGGAGAACATTTTGCTTCAGTTTTTCTTTTCTTGAATGCATTCCGTTAAAACCGTCTTCCTTCCTGACGCTCTCCTTCACCAGTTCATACCCTCAGCAGCAGTTTGGGCCGCAGGGACCTCCAGGGCAGCAGCAGTTTGGCCAGCAGGGCAATCCAGGCCAGTATGGGGGCATGATGATGAACGGAGGCATGCCAGCCAGCGGAGGAGGAGGTCACATGGGTCAGATGGGGGGGCAGATGGGCATGAACCCAATGGTGATGGGACGTATGCCTATGGGTCCTGATCAGGTAGGTGTAGTGGGTGGAAGAGTCAGAATGCTTAAAGGACAGGTTTACATGTTTTCAAGTTTATCTTAAAACAATACGGACATGCCCATATGTACACTGAAAGGGTTATTGCTTGCAGTTATCATCACCCCTGTCCATTGTGGGCGCAGAGAAATATCTTCTTACAGTATTTTCAGTGTAAGAGATAGGGGACAAAATGAGAGTTTGTTAAATGTGGATAGAGAAAACAATGAGTCCATTTCCATCCAACTGTCATTATGTAAATTTTGAATTTGCACATTGAAAAAACATGGAAATGATGAGAAATAAAAATCTTGAAATACTGCATGTTTTTGTCTTTGGCTGAGGTGGAAAGGTGTATCGATTAAAGCAAAATATAGCAAAGTGCAATGGAAACAGACTTAATCATGACAGACTTGAAACCTGTGACTTAAATGTCCACTGAAGCTTCTACCCTGCTAGGAAAGACAAGGAAAAAAATCAGATCTGTGTGGTGGAGCAAGGAGGAGACTGTAACCGTCCTCAAATTTATACATGAAACAAACATAAATGCCAAATTTCCTTCATGTTATGATTATTATTTTCCAGTTTGAAGTTTGACTGGCACTCTTTTAATTACATCATCTAATTTCACCCTCTTCTTCTACAAAGATTTAATGGCACCTGGCTGGATCATTAGCATTACTAGGTGTTTATCTCGATGAACCAATTTCTAATAATCACATAGCGGATGGATATTAATTTGCTTTTTCTTTTGCTGACACTTCTGTTCAAATTTAAGGCTTCATTTGTATGGAATCCTGTCTACTGTTTGTTTGTACTATTTATAGATAACATTGAGGAACTAGCATGAGACAGCTAGATTTTGAAAGGATCCAACTGAAAAAATCCTAGCCCCTCCCTTCAGGCCTCCCTCCACAGCCACTCCACCAAAACACAGTCATACTCAGTTAGTGCACAGGCAGAGTGGGAGCAGGTAGGCAGGTGGACTGGCAGGTCGAATGAAATGATTGGACGTGTAACAGCCAAAGTTAATGGATTTTTCTGTTTGTGTCAGAGCATTTGATTTATAAGAGAATTTCAACAAATACAGCAAAAAAATTCTTCTAAAATAAGTGACCTACCATAGCTTTAACTTCAGCTGTAATTTAAAATTAATTTCTGCACATAACGAGGACTGAGGATTTATTCTTGCTTAAATTGAAATTGCTTAAGAAGAGATTTCTCTGCATCCAGGCATGTTAGCATTGTTTTAAGATTTTCTTGAGAAATGTGAACCTGTTCTACCTGATACTAGTAGCTGTTCTGAGGACACACAAAGCTTTGGTCAGTTTTGTTTTACTTGCTCACTATTTTTTTCTCTTTTCCTCCCCTCAATCCAGAAATACTGCTGAGCATCGCAACAGAAGCATTTGTCTCACTGTGATCTCCATTCAGAGATCGGACACGGCTGCAGCACTGGAGTGTGTGGAGGACCCAGCTCTGTGTGTGTGTCTGTGTCTGTGTGTGTTTGTGTGTAGTGCTGCACTCCCACCAGACGGGGGAGTGAATTTCCTTTGGACTCATGGCCAGTAACAGCAGTCTGGCAACCTGGGGAAGACAGAAAAGACGCACACACATGAAAACACACAGCGTTCATAAAAATCAGAAACACTGTGATACATTTACACACATAAATCCTTAAACATTCAGATAGACGGCTCTATGATTCCTCTCGTAGACTGTAGTTTGAATATTCCTCTCTTTATGAGCGGTGTGATTCTGTATGTGTGTGTGTGTGTGTGTGTGTGTGTGTGTGTGCACCTCGGTAAACACACACCACTCGCTGGACCAAACGGCGAAGGTGGACAGACTCTTGAGCAGATCATAGACTTGAACATGGACGTGTTAAGACATTTCCTGTGTCGAATGTACCATGAAGCTGTGTTCAGATTTAAAACGTAGGATTCCTTTCTCGTCTTTGAACTTCGTGGGATTTTTATCCGCCGCCTCTCTGCTGCTCCTGAAGGATCTCTGCGCCCGCGACGTAAAGCAAACATGGTTCTAGATGACGAGCCATCAGATTGTGACACTGAGATGAATGTCATTAGCAGTATCACATTGTTTCGTCCTCCAGGACACCGCTGAGCTAAAGTACGACTGAATTACTTGTTGGCTGATTGCACTTTAAGGAAAGGCCAACAACAAAAGGATTGTGGCAATATAGAGGCCTTTACCCAAGAATTAATGCAGAGCAGCAGACATTTACTGTTTATTTTTTTCTGTGTGTTCTCCAACTTTTCCTCTCCGAGTGATGGGGGCTGTTGATTGCAAATGGGTAACCTTGATGATCTTTGTTCTTAAGTGGGAACCAGTAGAAAGGCAGTAAGCACAGATTTTATCCAACACTCTCATCTACAGTGTACCGATTTATTACAACAAGAGAATGGACCGTTTTTAAGTCATTTTAAAGTCACTCTTGAAACAAACGGACTTCTGTTAATGTTCAGGACTCCACCTATATTTATACAGATTCATGACGTGATCATTTTATCATTCCAGAGGTAATTTTTAGACCCAAATGTTGCAGATATTTTGATTACCTTGCACCAATTTACAGTGTTACTCCAAGTGCAGAATTCAAATTGATTGCCACTTATACACTTTCTCTTACAGTGGGAGCTAATGTAGACATAATCTTATGTTAGATTTCAGTGTAGATTTCGAGCAATAAGCCTTCCGCCTGGTTTTCCTTCTGAGGACAAAGCTGAAGCATCATTTACTCAAAGCGACAGCACTGCAGTATTAGACATGATGTCTTGTTTGGAGCTCTTTTTTTTCCTTTTGTCTGTGAATATGAATTGTAAATACGCTATATATATATATATATATATATATATATATATATATATATATATATATATATATATATATATATATATATATATATATATATATATATATATATGCTTTTGTAGGTCACATACTGTTTTTGCACAGATTGTAAGGCTTGATATTTAAAAGTGTAATTTTCTTAATCCGTCATAGGTCAGCTTTTATTTTCAGTACTTTAACCATGGGTTGGAAAGGAAGGGCCTCCTTTTTATAAGCAGTACGTGTAGATTTTCTTTCATACTGCAGCTTTCATTCTCTCAGAAGGCACTGTTTGTTTTTTCTGAGGACATAATCTTAGCTAAAGAGGTGCTAGTGTGTAATTGTTTTGTTTTTCTTAAATAATAAATAATTTTTCTTTTGACAAAAAAAAAGAAAACACAAAATATGCCTATACAAAAAGAGTTGACACATGATTGTGTTAGGCTTCTAGGGACCCAGATGTCTTACCAGTATGTGGGGTTGATATTTTCTTAACTGAACCTCATGCTTCCATGTGTGACTTTTAAGTTTCACTCCTGAGATCTCTGTGCTTTGAATTTTGCAGATTTGATCGTTCAGCCTCCGACACGAGACTTCAGTCCCACTGTATAACTGTCCATAAGTCCTTTTTGGGTTTTTTTTGCAGATGTTTAATCCTGATGGAAGCAACATAGCAACACAAGAAGTAGTTTGAATCCCTAATTACCTGTCAAACTCCTGTCATGCAATTGTTTTTTTGTTTTGTTTTTTCATTTAAATTTGCCTTTCATTGTATTTCCTGTGTATCTTTCGTTGAGAAACCTTTGAACACACGCTCAATCCAAAGATTTTGTTTGTCATTCTGCAGTGCTTAGAAACAGTTCCTGACATAGATTGTGCAAGTACTCGTGTGCTTTTACTGTTGCACATAACCTATAATATACATTGAACTAAATATGTTTAATTGCATATATTATAACCCCATCTGTATGACATAGAGTAGAGATAAGTCTGGTTCTGCTGAGGTGGTTTGAGTTACTGTTTGTGATTGTTTCTTCTTTTCTGTAGAACTTATGGCCAGTTGAATTGTGGTGCTGCAAACGGTTATTTCACAAGAGAATGTTGAGATTTTCTAAGCTGGAGAAGGAGGTTTCATAGTTGATGTCATTATGTCTCAGAATAATAGCTTGGAGTTGTTGTTTGTTTTTTTTTAACCCCAGTCTCAATGAAGAATATGAAAGTTTAATCTACAAATATATAGAAAAGAAAAGTCTGTGTTTTGCTTTGAAGGGAAGAAACCCCTCTCAGTGCATTGTTGGAGAAAAGAGAAAACATTATTTCATTATTCTACCAGTCATTATTACAGGGTGTAAAATACTATTGCATTTTTTTCTTACCTTGTTTCTTGATGTTAATATCGATGTAAATACAAATTTATATTTAAACATTACAATGCCTCTGCTGTCTTTTTGCACATGCAAATGTTTCAAAATACAGAATACCTCTCAAATAAATACATAAAATAAAATACATAATACTCATGCCAGAAAATGTATCAAGATAAAATACATGTATTTTGTATGTACAAAATACAGGAAAATATATTTTTAACCTTGAGTCATTCTGAATTTGTACAAAATGGCAGAACATTCAGATGTTGATAATGTATACAAAGCTCTGGTGAGAGTTTGAACCCTACAGGAAGGAAGAATAGGAAGTAGAAAATATTATGTTTTGAATGTACAAATCTGCTCTCTGTCTATTTGAAAGACATGAAAGTTGAGACCCAACCACTGAATTTAGTAGCCTATTTAGTTGCCATTAAGAACAACTTTTCAAATGCTTCTGGTGTTAAACGCCTCCTGTGTGGATGGAATATCACTCTTGCAGATAAGAGGGTTGTGTTAAATCTGGCAAAAAGGAGCTTGATCAGTGGGTAATGGTTTCATGCACGGTCCAGCCATATACAAGGTTTTGACCTAGTCTTGTGTTTTATGAATCATAGGGAAAGTTTTTTGAAAATACAAAATGACCCCACCCTGAAGTATCTGGTTACAAATTACATTTAAATTTTTCAGACCCATCACATACCAATTACAAATAAGTATTTCAAATACAAGTAACAGAAATACTGCCCATCTCTGGCGGCAAGCAAATGCAGAGTCCAGCCATGTTGTAGATTTGACTGAAAGTTTGTTTAACTGCAGTAACGAGGCCATTTGAGGGCCACAAGTTGCAAGTAGGGGTTCTTCTCATCATTTATGATGACTGGAGTCTGCCAGTCTGCATGAAGTGGGAAGTGCGTGTGTGTTGGGGGTGTTAGAGTGTGAAAGACATCTGTGTGCCAAATCTTCAGATGTGGACTGAAAAAGGGACAATGAGGGATCGGGCAGCCAGTCTGTTGCCTCACTTTTATCTGCTGTTTGTTTCCTGCAACTGGTCACTCCCTTCCCCGCCTCCCCCGTATGAGCTTTTGTCATTAATCATCCCACTTTCTTCCCTTAATGATTTTGCACCCCATGAAAAGATCTGACACCTCCAGGCTGTCGCAACTTGGCTGCTGTTACTGTACCTACACCTACAGAGCCCCGTCAGCCCATTCAAAGCTTTATATAATTTCCATTTTAGACAGTCAGTTTTAAGATCAGAAGCCAGGGCACTGTTGGCTGACTCAGTCAACCCTTCAAACTGCAGTCTTGTAGCTAGAGAAATGATTCAACAGATTCAGACAAGAGACAAGTTAGTTTTTGTAATGCGATGATTTCATGTTGTACATGAAAAAATATTGCAGTGTTTCAGTTTTTGATAAGTAATAACTTGATCTTTATTTTTTTTAGCCAAGCCAGTGGCAACAACAGCTCGGTAGATTTCCAGAAATGTTGTACAGATGTTCATCAATCAAAATTTCAATTTGTCCCATGCTTTATGACTAAATACAGGCACAGGGTAGATTTATGTTTAATTTTACAACACAGTGTTGTATAACAAGTAATACTTCCCTTTATTTACCTGCAAAACTAGTGACATTCCCATCAGCCTCAGCTGTACTTTGTGTTTAGCACTAGTTAAATATTTGCATGCTAATACGCTAAACTATGTTGGTTAACGTGGTAAACATTATATATTACACCTGTGTACACCTATACATACACATCAACATGTTAACAATCGGACATTATAGCATTTAGCTCAAAGCACCACTGAGTAAGACCTTCTAGCGTGGCTGTGAACTCTTTCTCTTGTTCACATAGTAAATAATAATAATACATTTAATTTGTGACACTTTTTATATACTTTATATATTTAACTTTAAACAAATCAAAGAAGTGCCACAGATTAAAAACAGGAAAGTGCTAAAAATAAACATACAATTAGTTCGAGTAGTAAGGCTATTAGTAGTAAAACCCTGCAGTTACACCAAATAGCCTACTGACTTTCATTTTACACAGTGTAGCTGACTGTCTTTTTGATCAGTTTGGACTGATCTATATGTCTGTTTGTTCTCCATGGGCCTTGACAATTCTTGAAAGGTTACAGATTGGACAAAAAAAAACATTTTTTTAGGAGTGGATAACCTTCAAAATATTTTGTTTTATAACATATGCTCTCTGGTTCCCCTGCCACCCCCAGGATTAGCCCCTAACATTCAAAAAACCCTCTAATATTGGTTTTACTATTCAAAAAACAGCAGTTGTGGGAGTTCAAATCAAAAACAAAAACAAATTAAAGCTTTCATAAAGTCAAAAACTAAAAATGAGGCATCTGGTGTTTATTATAAATACCGATCTTGGCACAAATCATGCCCAAATTGAGTCCAAATGTCAGTTTCACCAGTGATTTTATTGACTTTCTATCAGTTTTTCTGATCAGTGGTTGCACAGCCACCTCCCCATCAAGCTTTACAGTGGAGACAGTTTCTCCAGAAAACCATGCCAATTGATATTTCTATGAATCCTTACCAATCATATTTTGGCAGTCTTTACAATGGCATGTGGTGCCGGCTCTTTAGATATGATTCAACAGTTTCTCCATTTTATTGGCAGAAACATTTCAGCAGCTATGTGGGGGTTTCCTGTGGGTGTGTGCGCGCGTGCGCGGGTGTGTGCGCGCAGCAGGAGTAGGGTGGAGCAGGAGGCGGGATGCGCCAATGGAAAAGACGCACCGCTCGTCTATTGGACCAGACGCGTATTGGGCCCAAGCAAGACGCGCCCACCAAAGCTTAAAGCTTCTTTTTTTCCGGAACAGGAGACATGAGGTTCTAAGACACCTGTCAGGAGGACTATACATCCAAACGCTATATGTGAGGCAACCGGAGGCTGCGTGTTTGGCCATGGGCGCGCTGGTATCGTCATTATAGCCTCTCGGTGACCAAGGAGCGTAAAGTTATTCTGCTACGTTCTTGTTCTTATTGTCTTTCACCTTCTTCTGTTTTTTTTCAAGCCGCATGAGTTCACCGCTGTTTTTAGGTCAGCTGGTCGGGGTTCCGTTAGAAATAATGCACCCTACAATGGAGAAAGACACGACTTACACCAAGATTTTTGTCGGCGGGTTGCCCTATCACACCAACGACGCTTCACTTAGGAAATATTTCGAGACTTTCGGGGAGATCGACGAGGCAGTGGTAATCACAGACAAACAGACGGGCAAGTCCAGAGGATATGGCTTTGTAAGTTAATTTAAGTTGCTGTTTTCTGGTAGAATAAATGAGGAGTTGAACACATTGTAGAGTGAAATATGGGTTTAATTAAGGTTTTATCAGCCGCTCTCACTTTAATTGGATGGTCAGGGGGTGAAAACACACGAGATCGCAGCCAGCCAGTAATGACTTTAAAGCGACTTTATCTGTATGGTTAATTGTATTTATTTTATCTCCTGGTTATCACAGCCTCCTGGGGTTTTTTCTTCTTCTAAGCCTTGGAGGCTGCAAACACTGCCACTTTGTTCAAGCAGCAGCAACAGCCATGTGCGGTGTGTCTGTCGGGTGGTGGCAGTCACATGCTTGGAGCATGAGTAGCAGATTATTTCGTATAAGTGTGTCATCAATTAACTCTGCAGACAGACACACAGTATAGCAGTATAGTGTGTAAGGACTCACTGTGCTGTCGGTGTGCAGAGACGAGCGCAGACAGAGTGGGGGGGTTACAAATGAGTTGGTAATAAGCTGCTGCCTCTGTGGACAGATGTGTCTCTTTCTGCTCTGTGTGAGACAGAGAGGGGGAGGGGGGGAGTCCTTGGTCACAGAGGTGTGACATGTCAGTTGGCCCTGCAAGATAAGACTGCAGTAGTTTCATTTTGACTTCCTCCAATACCCCCCCCCCTGTCAGGAAGGTTTTGGTTGTTTGTGTGAGAGACTGTAAGTTTGAATGTGAAAGAGAGAGCGATAAGAAGAGGATTCATGTGTTTTGCATCAAGGTGAAGCAGTTCAAATTATATCTGGCTCAGCTGCAGCCAGTGAGCTGAGGCGACCAGTGTGTGTTGAGTTGTTAACTCCTGCTGGAGGACAGTATGATCACTTCAGCCCTGACAAAGATCTCAAATCGTCTGCTGCCTCTGTTTGCATAAGTGTCCAGAGTCTGAGGCTGTGAAACGAAAGCAAGCATAGCAGTTTTACTTTCAGTGTCCCACTTATTGGTGATTGAGTTGTCTGCAGCTGTAGTTTTCCTCATAAGTGTAGCTGCACTGTGTGTGTGTGTGTGTGTGTGTATTAACCTTCACCACCCCTTCCCACTGCTATCTGCCCACTCCTCAACTCACTCCCTCAAGGTGCAAAGATGCCAGTATCTCATTCTTGGCAGCCCAGTCTGGAAAAAAAAAAACCCAAATCTGCCTCCTACACAATCTCCGCTGGAAGCCTTAAAAAACACTGATTGCTGCCTTTGTGTAGCGGAGTCAGTGTCTCCTTGTGCATTTAGCAAAAGGACTGATTCATCTGATGAGAGACAAGGACAGCAGCTACCTCAGGGCCGCCCTGCACCGGGCCATTGGAGCACTCATGTTGGAATCACTCCATCCACACTGAATAGAGAAGCTTCCACGTTCACAATTATGTAGCTTAAAGAGTTAATCAGAGGGATACTAATCAGTAATGGTGTGACTCTCTCAACAGGTGACCATGGTGGACAGGGGGGCAGCAGAGCGGGCGTGCAAAGATGCAAACCCCATCATTGACGGCAGGAAGGCCAACGTGAACCTGGCATACCTGGGAGCGAAGCCTCGCAGCTCGCAGACCAGTAAGTGTGTTAGATCACTGCTGAAAAGGATCTACAGGATCATATCAGAATGTTTAGTTGGTCATGTTTGAGCCAAATGCCTACAAATCATGTAGTTAACTTAAATGGTAAAGTTGGTGATATTCTACACTCTCTTTTGGGAAACGAATCCCATAAAAAGACTAACACCAACAATGTGTTGGTTCCTACCGCGACGTACATCTTTATAGACAGGTCACGAATATATAGTCTTACTTTTAAGAAAGGCTAAACAGTTCCTTAAAACGGCTGTTGGCTGTAGTTGTTATCAAATGTTACTGAATCAGGTGTAGAAAGTGCATTTGTTAGGGACTATTTTCAGCTGTGGAGCTGGTGTGCTAGTGTATATCATGGTAGCATGACGGTTTTTGTGGGATCAAAACTAAAGTGCCCATGTTCATCACAATGTGAGGAATTGATCTCACATTGCAAGTAGCAGCTTACATGGTGCAGATTTGGTGAAGCAGGCCCCAAGACTCATCCCTTAAAAAAACATGTTTCCAAAGCAAGAAACCCTTTCATAAATTGATATCCTAACTTCCAGGCAGCCAATGGCTTGCAGGGACTAACTCAAGAACTGTAGTATTGTATGCTACTGTCAAATGGTAAAGCTTTGCACTCACAAATGTCCTGGGAAGATTAAACCTGGAAGACAAACACACATAATAATAATAATAATAATGATAATATTGATAATAATAATCTAACTTTGAGAAAAAATAATGGCAGCTAATTAGTCACTGTTGATGGATTTCTTGCAAGTCTCCGCATGTTGATTTTCACGCTGCACTGAAATGAGTGGAAACCCACAGCTGCCTGGAAGATAGGAAATCAATCTAAAAGCCAATAAAATATATGTACATATTTGAGGTTAGTGGGATAAAACATGCAAAACCACTTATATGCTCCTTTCAGCCAACTGTCTCTGCCCACTCCCACCATACATTCACTCTTTGTGTACTCTAGTTAACGCACAGCTTTCATGCCGCCGGGTTTCTTCCGCATTAACTACCAGTGCACATGCTTCATGCTTCCCTTCTCTGACGTGCACACCAGACCTTGACAGCAGCTCTCCCTTCGCTGCTTCTTTTAAAGCTCGCTGGCTGAAATACAGTTCAGTGTAGGTGTGATTGACAAACAAGTGGCGCCAACAACAACTGGCTGTGTGTCCTTATTCTGGAGGCCCAGTGCTGCGACGCAACTCCCCAGGCATGCAGCTGATGGGAGATGGCAGCGCTTGGTATTTTGTTATTGTGCGTGAGAGCACAGAGAGAATGGGAGAGGGAGAGAATAAGAAGAGCGAGAGGGGATGGGGCCGTTGAGAGCAAGAAAGTGACTGCGTGTCTGTCTCCTCTTTGTCCTGGTGAAGAAAGAAAATGTGCATTTAGATATACGTTTGAACAAAAGAGGAGGGCTGATGAAGTCATGGCCGTGCAGTAACAGGGGGAATAACAGAGGAATGAATAGCTGGAGGAATGTCGAAATGAAGTCAGAGGAGGGACAGAGAGGAGGAGGAGGAGGTTTCCTGTCATACTCAACCTCAGCTGATTCCTGGTGAACTCTGGAGGCAGCGAGGTCACAGATGTTTGTACATCATTATTTGTTTGTGTTGAGTATGTGCGTGCACTGAGGGAATAACAGTGTGTCTCTGTTACTCTCATATACATGCTAACATCTGAGACAAACGAGCAGAGACAGAGAGGGAGAGAATCGGCTCTGTCCTTGTCTGCCCGTCTCTTTCTCTCTGTGCTGCCAGAAGCTAAAATATCCCTCCTTACCGCTGCCTCTTTTTCTTTGTCTGCAGGTCTCTCTGTTGGAGTTCAGCAAGTCCATCCTACGTGGGCTCAGAGGCAATATGGGTAAGACTGAGAAGAATCAATACCTCTATTTCCACCTCTCTCACTTGCCTCCTCCTCAACACAATACATTTCACTCCTCCGTCCTTGACATTTCTGAGCACTCGCTCCTGTTCTCCACTTGGGTTGTGGTAGTTAGTGGCACTCTGCAAAGTGAAAGGAAGGGGGTGGGGTTACAGTGCAAATGATGCTTGTTTAAACTCCACAACACTGCAAAGATATATTCAGCCCTGCACCCTTATCTATATCTGAACATTGAATTTTGATTTGTCTTCTGTTTTCTTTCTCTCCCTTTCTGGTCCATTAAACCCATGAGAAGCTCAATTCTGAATTTCACTCACGCATGACTTGGGCTTCACTGAGGCAACAAGCCATTTAGTGAAACTTCCCTGCATCCCTTCTCTCTTTCCTCTCCACACACAGATAAACACACTCAAACACAGACACACATGCACTGCTGCCATTATCTCTCATCCCCCCCCCCCCCCCCTCATGTTCAAATCTATTTAATATCTTAGGGCGAGTTGGGCCAACCTGGGGCTCAGCATTCCCACAAGCGGGCACGAGCTGAGTTCACAGTCCTGTGTTAAGGGGTTACAGATGTAGACTACGCCATAGCTGAAATGCACCTCCTTAACAATTTAACTACACGTCAGGACTGCAGGGGCCAACAGCACCACATAGACACCCCAAGAACTGTGGTTGGTCAGCTTTAGTTTGGCGAATGCTGATTGTCAAGAGAACTTTAAGGAAGTTGAGAAAAGGCTGAGCTGTCTTCTCCTTTTCAGTAACACACATTGAGCAAAGACATCTTCACTGTAAACTGTTCACCCTAATCACCACTCTGTATTACAATTAATGAATCAATGTAAACACAGAGATTGCCCGGCAGTAGTCTCTCATTCACTATCAGGCTAAGGAGAGAGAGAGAGAGAGAGAGAAGTTACCCGGATGTTGCTTCAGTTAGTAAATTTGTAGTCTACTGCCTCTCTACAGTATATCACGTAATAGTTGATGAAATAATGCAAGTATGACATGGCCTGATCATACATAATACGTGCGTCTGGAGCATTGCGGTGGTGCTATCACCAGGTGAAATCCAACAATGAACTATGCATCAAAACCTGCGCTAGTGGACAGCTAGCACTAAAAAAGGGGTGCTACACCCTTCGCTAAGCCCCGCCCCCCTCAGTTACTGTTGCTAAGTCCGACAAAATGTCGCACTCCCTGGAGAAATATTGTCAAATTTGTTGGGAGAAGCGATCTCAGAAAGAAGCAAACAGTTTTGCAGTTGCATTATACATTTGAAGATTGTATTCAGGCTGTCAAACTGACTCGAACGGACGTGAAAAGGGTGGAAAAAGCTAGAAAACGACTCTTTTTTTTTTGCATTAGAGTCAATGGAGTGCATCCATGAAAGTGTCAGACTTCGGTTAGAGCGAGACCTATACTGCACTGTGATTGGCCAGCTGTGTATTCGGGGCGTGGCTTAGCGAAGGGTCAATTGCTAGGGTAGAATAAAAATATTTCTACAACACAGAATTATTTATATTATTAAAATGTCTGTTTCTCTCTTGTGAAATATTGTATAGTTTTACCTTATCACACTTTTAAAAAACAATTAAACATTGTAAACAAGGTAATCAGATCTGCAATCAATCAGGTATCTTGATAGCACATTTGCTGGATTAGTAAAAAACAAACATTGCTGTCTGGTTATTTAAATCAAGAAACTGAATTCTCTGTTGATTTTCCAGAAAATTTACAAAATCACAACATATATCAATATTGCAACATAAAATCCTTTTCTTAATATCACCTACTCCTCCTAATATACTGGAAAGCCTAACATCAACTGTGGCATAATGGGAGCAGCTGATGGTTTATCAGAATCTCGCTGTAATCCACATGTGACGGATGTTCGGTCTACTCGTCCAGTCTCCCTGAGTTACAGTGTGAACACAACAGCAAACCTTAATGACTCAGTTCCTGAGTGAAACATGGAGGATGGATAAATCATTCCCAGGACTGTCACTGCAGAGCAACGCTGCAGGTCGAACCCTTTTTGTTGAGTAAGTTTACCACTTACTTACTACTAAAATATTCAGTGTTCGATCGTGGTTTAGGTGATCTTAGAGGTTGTCTATCACAGGTGTCTGAGAAAAGAATGTAAAACATGTTTGACAAAAAGACTGGATCTAGTATAGTTTACAGGTATTTCTAAGGAATGTGCATGATGTAGTGTTTTGGAAAAGAGCTCTTCACACTGACTTTCTGCAGGATGACAAGTTCTGATCCTGCGGCTACAGAAAAGTCCATTAAAAACCTCAACTGTTCTGAGTGCTATTAATATTGCAATCCTCAATTTCTGAATGAGTGATGAGGGAATTGAGGCTGACCCAGATGAGTCTATGAATGAGTGATGATGGCTTGATTGAAATTCTCCCACAGTCAGGTCGGACACTCGAAGCAGAGGGAGTCGGCCTTTTTAATCCATGCTTGCAGGAAGAGCCAGAGCTTTGACACCTCGCAGACTGAAACAGAAGAGGCAAATACATCACTTGGCATTGACTAACTAACACACCCGCAACATAAACACACACCGGAGGTGGCACTTTGTTTATCAGTATAGAAAAACTTGCAAATCCAATTATTAACATGTTCGTAACAGATGTGTCTACCTAAGATTTGCTATTTTATTTTCTGTTCCACATCATCGTAAACTGGATATCTTTGGGGTTTGGGATTGTTGATTGGATGATACAAGACTTTTCACTGAGTGATTGTATGTTATTATTTTATGACATTCTAACAATTTAACAATTAAGCAATTAATTGTGAAAAAGATCTGCAGATTGACCGATCAAGTAAATCTTTCCTATTCTAAACGCACAGCAACACAAGACAGAACTTAACATTTCTCACCAACTCTCTAAGGGAAACTATAAGTAATTTTATCAGTGGATACAAAATTAATTTAATACTTTACAGATCAGTGATAAGTTCTTATAAGGTATAAATAAAAAATATCTTTGTGCACTCACTGTAGACTTGATGGATTATTTTTAGAGTGGAGAAATCTTTGTTGATGATGTGAAGCTTTGAGTTTAGCTGTTATGTTAAGTTATTAATTTCCATTAACTGCCATCTTATAAAGCTTTTAGTTTGTGGTAGGCTACCTAACAACCACACGTTTAGGTCAATTCTTTTTTATTATCAATTAAGATGTCAATTCTATCTTAGTTAATTGTGTCATCATAGTCAAAACATAGGGAAAAAAATACCCACTATAGTTTTCCAGAGTCTGAGTGGACATCTTAAGATTTCTTGTTTTGTCTGAACAACAGCCCAGTGTGTCTGGATTTTGACCTATACAAGGGAACGCCATCCTCACTGCTCTGATTTCCATTATTATTTTTTTTAATCTCCAAAAGTCCAACACGTTAATGGAAATGCAATGCTAAATGACTGCAGTACCCCCTTTTAATCAACTAATCGTTTCCCTCGCTCTTCTTCTCAACAACAACATACTCTGACGGAGAAATCTACAAGCTGTTCATGATGTATTTTGTGAAATACTGTCTCAGTTTCATTGTTTGATGGTGTATTTAGGGAAAAATCAGTTGTAGAAGAAGAAGTGATACCAACTTTAACCTCAGGAGATCTCAGTACAGCACAGCTGCAAGATGGATTGTGCTTTAAAAGAATATCAGATTCACTTTTTTTTCTCAACAGGAAACTCTTATGTTAAAAAATCACCATCAATGTTATATTGCTCTACACATACAAGTAAATTGAACAGCAAGCCTCTGTTTGTAGTTTAATTCCTCTAAAATACAAAGTGGACACAAATTACATTTGAATTACGTTTAAATGAAGGATAAATAACGCAAATATCAAGCCAAATCTTTAAATTTCTCAGTTTTGCAATGGCCGCATCTGTCCAGCTCACATCTCTCTGCTCCGAGGCTAGATGAGTCTTTGACATGATCAGTATGACTGCAGTCAGCTTCAAACATTTCTTGGCAGAATGAAGGACTTTTATATGAAGAACGACTTCAAGATTTAGCTATTTTAAACATAATAACAGGAGACTTTTCGGTAGGGATGTACCAATACAACTTTTTTTTTTTTCTCACTATATTGATTAGTTATCTGATACAAGCTCTCTCTTTTCCCCTAATTTAAAAACTTTATACCACACTGCGTGGAACTCTTCTGCATATTTTGCGTATATTGCATTCTGCAATTTTGTGAACAGACACATGTATAAATGGGCTATACGTATATTGTACAAGCCATGTTGTATTGTGACAAATTGCCACTCTATAACACAGGTTGTTGGTTTTAATTGTGATATAAACTGAGGACAAGACAGAGCAAAATTTAAACAAAAATATGAAATGAAACACCGGTACATACAGAAAGAAACAAGAAGCTAAATAAATTAGAAATTTAACTGAAATACTGAATTTTATCAGTGACTATATATTTACTTGACATAGATACTTGACAGTGTTTCTCCGATACCAGCAGATTGCATCGGAGTATCCGATAGTAGTTGTTTTTAAGGGTTGTAAAAAAGCACATGATGATCAATCATTCCTATGCCTTTTAGCATTCATATTTCCCAGTAAAAGCACTAAACTGAAACTCTAACCAATGCTGATATGGAATCACTGGTAAGATCCCTCTAGTAGAGTTAGATGAGAAGATTGATACCACTCTCACCTCTGTACGTTAAATATTAAGCTACAGTCAGTTGCAGCTTAGCTTAGCTTAGCTCAAAGACTGAAAACAGGGTGGAAAAGATAGACTGGCTTTGTCAAATATTAAAACAATCCGCCTACCAGCAACCCTAAAGCTTGTTAATTAATACATTACATCTTACTTGTTTAATCCATCTGTGTTGTGATTAGGGCTACAACTAACAATTATTTTTATCTCTGATTAATCTGCAGATTAATCATTCAGTCAAATTCATTCAATCAAAATTTAAAATT